TTGCGCTCGTCATCTGGGCGCTCGGCGCGTTCTGGCTCCTCATCGCCCTCCTGAGCATCATCGACACCGCCTTCGAGGGCCAGATCCCCTTCAATGTGCGTCTCGCAGTCAACCACCTCCCCTACTCTCAAAATTGACGCACAAACTCGCCACGCAGATGGGCTGGTGGGGCTTGACGTTCCCCATCGGCACGCACGCAGTCGCAGCTACTACACTTGGCCGGCAGCTCGGCAGCACCGCGTTCAAAGTTGTCGGGACGGTCGAGAGCGTAGCGGTGGTCTTGCTGTGGATCTACGTGCGCTATGGATTCCTTCCTGACCTGCTAACCCTTCTGACGAGTGTCTTGCTGACGAGCGTATCGTTCGGGCTTGCAGATCGCGGGAATGACGACCGTCAAGAGCATCGAAGGCTCGATCTTCTCCGCTCCTTGCCTTGGACCGACGGGACAGGTGCGCATGCACGATCTCGTCTCTGGCTGGAGGCGCAAAGCTGACGACTCCGCCAACGCTCTCGCAGCCACCGAAAGAAGCGCCTCGGAAGAAGCGACCGTAGAAATGGAGCGGTCGAGCACGTCTCCTCACACGACTCACAGCTTTGAGAGGGAGCGACAGCACTGTCCTTGAGGTGCACTTGACGACTGTGTTGAGCCTGTGTGGGAAGCAAGTCAGCCTGCTTTAGAGGGGAGAAGGAGGAGAGGGAGTGGTCAGTCTCCAGCTCTTTCTCCCACTCTCTGTGCTCTCACTCTGCACCTCCTCCCTCCTCTTGACCCTGAGAGAGCGACTGAAGCTGTGAGAAGCGGAACACAGTCAGTTTGGGAGCGAGAGGAACGGTGAGAAGGTCAGGCTCACCTGGAAAGCCGGACCTCTTCTTCCTCAAACACACCCAGTTCACTTCCCAGCACTCTCCCCACACTCTTCTTCATCCACTGCACCGCACTTGACCAGTCCCACCCTCAACAGAGCGACTTTTCCCTCCTCCTCCTGCTCCTTTCTGCCCAAGTCCCCAGTTGCTGTCCCCAAAACCAGCTCAAACCACCGCCCTTTCCACTCTCCCACGCTCTCCTGCACCTGCTTGACCGGTCCGAGCCTGCAAGAAGCGAGAGTGAGCTTGAGAACGAGAAGAAAGCGAGAGGAAGAGCTCGAGGGCGAGAGGCACTCCAGAACTCTTCAGCTCGCAAGCTCGCAGCCAGCCAGCCTCTCACTGCACTGAGAACACGCTACTCCAGGCTGCAAGAAAGGTCTCAAGTCGGTAGCTGCAGAACTGAGCAGGTTGGACTGGGTGAAGAGGGAGAGAAGGGGGAGGAAGCAGTCCTTCTCTCCTTCAACTCGCTTTCCCTCCACTCAGTACGGGCACAGAGAGCACACTCGCACTCTACTTGACCCTGCGAGAGAGAAGCGAGGTCAGCCAGTTTGCGTTTGAAGCGAAGAGTCCCCCTCCCTCCTCTTCCAGCCGCTCCTTCCCGGACTCAGTCCAAGAGAACGAGCTCCAACTCACCCAGTTCCAGCTCAGCTGCACTTGTCTAGACGTCCTCGACCTGCAGAGAGCGCACAGAAAGTGAGTCAGCTTGAGGGAGAGTCGAGGGAGCGCCTTTGAGCGGGGTGAGGGAAAGTGAGCTGCCCAAGTCCAGCTTCTCCTCCAACTGACTTCTCCTGCTTCTCTCCCTCCTCCACAACCCCCTTCGAGGCCGGTCTCAACTTCTCAAGCCAGCCCTGCCCCAACTGAGCGAGTTGCACTCACCCTGCCCTCCTCCTCACCCAGAAAAGTGTGACCAAGTCCGCAAAAGGGAGCCCAACCCACCCTCAAACACCTTGTCCCGCTGAGTACTCGCCCTGCGCTACCAGGAAGCGGAAGAAGCGAGTCAGCAGCTTGGAAACTGAGAGAGCTGGCTCTGTCCCTCCTCCTCTTGCTTCTGGGCCAGGTTTGAGTGAGAGAAAGTGGACTGACAGCTTTGGGAGAGAGCGAGAGCCCTCTTCTTGAGGTGTACTTGACAAGTGTGTTGAGCCTGTGTGGAAAGCAAGTCAGCCTGCACTAGAGGGGAGAAGGAGGAGAGAGAGTTGGTCAGTCTGCAGCTCTTCCTCCCACTCTCCCTGCCGCAGAACTCCACGTCCTCCCTCCTCTGAACCTTCTGAGAGCAACTGAAGCTGTGGAAAGCGGAACAGAGTCAGTGTGAGAGCGAGAGGAAGGGTGAGAAGGTCAGGCTCAGCTGGAAAGCAGACCTCTTCCTCCTCAAACACACCCAGCTCACTCTCCAGCACTCTTCTCACACTCTTCCGCACCCACTCTACAACACCTGACCACCCCCAGCCTGAACAGAGCGAGTTTTCACTCCTCCTCCTGCTCCTCTCCGGCCAAGTCTCCAGAACTTGTCCGCAAAACCAGCTCCAACTGACTCCCTTTTGACTCTCCCACACTCTCCTGCAGTTGAGTGACCGGTTTGAGGCTGCAAGAAGCAAGAGTGAGCTTGAGAACGTGGAGAAAGCGAGAGGAGGAGCTTGAGGGAGACAAACACACCAGAACTCACCAGCTTGCGAGCTCGCAGCCAGCCAGCTTGGCACAGCACTCAAAGCACTCTACTTCAGCCTGCGAGAGAGGTTGCCAGTCAGCAGCTGCACAACTAAGCGAGTTGGACTGGGGGGGGAGGAGGAGAAGGGGGAGGAAGCGGACCTTCTCTGCTCAAACTTCCTGTCCTCCCACTCAGGACAGACTCAGAGAGCACGCTGCGACTGTACTTGGCGCTGTGAGAGAGAAGCCAAGTCAGCCAGGTCGAGTTTGAAGCGAACACTCCCCTCCCCTCCTCTTCAAGCTGCTCCTTCCCAGACTCAGTCCAGGAGAACAAGCTACAACTCACCCAGTTCCTGCTCAGCAGCACTTTTAAACACCTCCTTGACCTGCAGGCAGCGCACAGAAAGCAAGTCAGCTCGAGTGAAAGCCGAGGGAGCACCTTTGAGCAAGTCGAGGGAAAGTGAGCTGCCCAAGTCCAGCTTCTCCTTGAACTGACTTCTCCTACTTTTTGTCCTCCTCCACAGCACCTTTTGAGACCGGTCTCACCTTCCCAGCTCAGTCGTGCCCCAGCTGAGCGACTTGCACCCACCCTGCCCTGCTCCTCTGCCTGAAAAGCGAGACCAAGTCCGCAAAAACCTGCTCAACTCACCCTCAAACACCTTGTCCCGCTTAGTACACTCCCGGCGCTACCCAGCAGCGGAAGAACCGAGTCAGCAGCTTGCAAACTGAGTGAGCTGGCCCTGTCCCTCCTCCTCCTGCTTCTGAGCCAAGTTTGAGGGAGAGAGACTGAACTCACAGCCTTGAGAGAGAGCAACAGCACTGTTCTGTAGCTGCACTTGACGGCTGTGTTGAGCCTGTGTGGGAAGCGAGTCAGCCTGCTTCAGAGGGGAGAAGGAGGAGAGGGAGTGG